ATAAGCGAACCTGGCATACCTCCAAATTCGGAACCAGCCATTGCTATCGACTCAAATGTTGAACTTACCCAACGTTGGAAGTTCGTGTTAGTCATTTTGGTAAGGAGAATATTATCAGGTCACTTGCCAGTTGATTGTAACAGAGGTTGGTTGTGAAAGGTGGGCGAAGTAGCACATATCTGGGTCAACAATTTACGGAACAATAAGGTGACATAGGGCAGGTATACCCAAACAATTTTTAATGACAAACTGCCTTAGGTTATTTTATCTTAGAGGTAGAATATCCATCATCAGGTTTCCTCGCCCATGAACGCAGTTAGTTGGTTTCTTTGAATTTCGTTAGTTTCTTTCAAATAACTAATGAGAACTCTTTCCACTACTTAGGTTGGTCAATAAGTGCCCTTCAAACTTGAGCTTTTTCTCAGATCCACTCCACATGGAATAGCTGCCGCGCCAGCAGGTACCCCATTTTTACCATACAACATTCTCAGTCATGCAAACTAGTCGCAATTGATTCGGGAGAACTAAGGACGGTGCTGCTTTCCGTTCCGCACTCATTCTTCAAACAAGAGGACTTAGGCTTCTTCGTTAAAGATTGGAATGCGCACCGGTACCTTAGCGCATGCCCGTTAACACTCAATAATTAACCCCGGAATTAATAAAAAATAAAAAAACCCTTTTTTTTTAATTCCGGATATACCCACTTTCGTGCATCGACCTTGTGTTCTCGAAAACATCATCCTTGCAACGCTTCCAACTGAACAAAATGGGCTTGTGCCGAGGGTAGTTGGCTTAGAGACAGAATCGCTCGAGGGGTTTGCTTGCAAAGGTTGTGCAACAGTCATTCTGGGCTGTTACGATGAGCGTTCAATTTTTCGCGTATTCCGCAATAAATTTGTACAACTTAATGTGCGGTATCGGATAAACTCGGAATGGAGAGGGTACAAACAAGGCTTAATTGTCACTCCACCTTTTGCCCTTATTATTTTCCTCGAGTGGATCGCCTCAAGTTTTCGCGGAGATCCTGACGTAAGATCAATGGAAGTATATATATGCGAATGTAATTAGAGCTCTCTGGGCTGAATAAGAACTGGGCATTTTCTTGAATACCAATAGGTTTTTTTCCACTCTCTAGCCTGGATAGAAAAAAGAAGTCACTACCGCGATGAAGAACTTACTTTCATTGGTAAACAAGGAGGGCAAACCTAAGTCCTCCGAGATTGTACCAGATACAGAAGCCAACAATGGTGGCATGAACACAAGTATGATGGATGACGCTAAAAAAAGGAAAAGTGATATTGAGCTGTGTCATATGGAACATGCTCCCGGTTCAAATAGTCCTGAGGATGAAGATACTGAGGCTGCTGAGCTGTTGAATGCGACTCAGGATGCTAAAGAAGCAGACGACAACGAGAGAAAAATGCCCTTGATGCAGGCCCTAATAACCTATCCAAAGGCTGCAGCATGGTCATTGCTCGTTTCAACTACGTTGATAATGGAAGGCTACGACACTGCAATTCTTGGCGCTTTCTTCGCGCTGCCTGTTTTTCAGGAAAAGTTTGGTAGCCAAAACTCGACAGGAGACTGGGAAGTTTCGGCTTCGTGGCAAATTGGTTTGACCTTGTGTTGTATAGGGGGCGAGATTGTGGGATTACAGCTTACCGGACCACTGTGTAATTACATTGGTAATCGGTACACAATGATTTTCGCGCTGTTTAGTCTCGCTATGTTCACCTTCATTCTGTATTTCTGCAAGGATTTGGGAATGATCGCGGTGGGCCAGGCCTTGTGTGGTATGCCGTGGGGCTGTTTTCAGGGCTTGACAGTCACATATGCGTCAGAAATTTGTCCCTTGGCGCTCAGATACTACTTGACAACATATTCTAACCTCTGTTGGTTATTCGGTCAACTATTTGCAGCCGGCATCATGAAAAACTCTCAAAATATGTATGCACATTCCGAACTTGGTTATAAATTACCGTTTGCGCTGCAATGGTTGTGGCCTGCTCCTCTAATGGCTGGTATATACCTAGCGCCTGAGTCTCCTTGGTGGTTAGTTAGAAAGGGAAGAATGGATGAGGCAAGAAGATCGCTTAATAGGACGCTGAGTGGTAAGGGTATAGAAAAGGAGGTTATGGTGGCCAAAGAACTAGAGAAAATTCGGCTCACCATAGAAAAGGAAAAGACACTCAAATCTTATGAGGAAAGTTACCTGGACTGCATAAGGGATAAAACTAATAGGAGAAGAACTAGAATTGCTTGCCTTGCATGGGTAGGACAGCCAGCATGTGGCGTCGGTCTTATATCATACTCAACTTATTTCTACCAAAAAGCTGGCGTCAGCACAGATATGTCTTTTACCTTCAGTATCATCCAGTACTGTCTGGGCATAGTTGCAACTTTTATCTCTTGGTGGCTTTCAAAACACGTAGGCAGATTTGATCTGTACGCAATCGGCTTGGGATTCCAGGGAATAGTGTACTTCATAATTGGAGGTCTAGGATGCATGGAGACAACAGAATCAAAAATGGCAAGTGGAGCACTTCTGATGGTTGTCGCATTTTTCTATAATTTGGGTATTGCCCCTGTGGTCTACTGTCTAGTGTCTGAAATTCCATCGTCCAGGTTGAGAACAAAGACCATTATTTTTGGTCTCGAAATTCTTACAATGTTGTCTTGATTGCCGCATATGTCTTGATATTATACCAGTTGAATCCACAAGTGGACTGGGTGCTAAAGCAGGTTTCTTCTGGGGCGGATTATGTTTTGCTACGCTTGCATGGGCTGTTATTGATCTACCAGAAACTTCTGGAAAGACTTTTAGTGAGATAAATGAACTATTCAAGCAGCATGTCCCGGCTCGAAAGTTCAAGACAGCAAAGGTAGAGCCTTTTTCAATCAAAACCTCAAATGAGCTATTGGATGATGATATAACACCTTCGCTAGGGTTCTCTTCTAAATCTCAAGACGAAGGAGAATCGCCAAACAATGATCTTTAATGGTTTTTGTACGGTTCAGAGGCTACGGACGTGATTGTGTTAACATTTTTCTTATACAACCAAGGGCCCTTGGTAAATGATCTTCAAATACATCTGCCGACCAATAATATGCTCAATTATTATGAATACATATCTAAGAGGTTAAATTATGTCAAATAGAAATAAAACTACTTAACCGTTTTTCATTTTGATGCCAGTGTTGGTCTCTGGCATATAAGTGACATCATTATTTGAATCAGATTGGAAATATGCTTGTTTTCCTTCTACGAAATAAGTGTCATCCCATATTCCATTTATAATAGATACATTTAAAGTACGTAGTCATCTTTTAGATGGAGGAGGCATGGGTCAAAAGTACCGAGAGCGTCCAAAGCCCCTAGTAATCTGACCATTGTCAAAGATTTGACTCGAATATTGTGCAGGAACCAGCTCGTGTGTCTTTACCTCTCAACAAAACGAGCAGGTTCAGGCTTCTGGTAAACTGCTTGATATAAACTGTCGCCAGGCAACTCTATGGATCTATTTTTGATGCCGCTTAAATCAAGTAGTTCTGGCCGGAGATCTTTTATCGTTTTCGCACCCAATAGTCTCATCGAACATTCCACTTCCTCAGCTAACATATTAATGGCTTTTTCTACACCATCTTTCCCGTAGCAGCTATTGGCGTATAAAAAAGGCCTTCCAATTCCTACGCCCTTGGCACCGAGGCACAAGGCTTTGAGAATGTCAGTTCCACGGCGTACACCCCCATCAATAAATACATCAAGCTTATCTTCTAGGCGTTTTTCTCTCAAAAATGGGCATCGCTTCCGCCAGAACCTCCAAGGGCGCACGAGCAAAGTCCAATTGGCGTCCACCGTGATTTGATATTACAACCCCATCTCCTCCAATCTCCACTGCCTTTAGGATGTCTTCAACACATTGTACACCCTTGATGACAATGGGAAGATGAGTTTTTTCTTTCAAATCTGTGATATCTTCCCATGTCAAGCTTGGATCAATAAAACCAGCGAGGGCTTGAGATGCGCCACGGGCGGATCCACCTTTTGTGGACGTCGCATTTGGAGCCGCATTTTTTGAGGAAAATTTGATTTTCATGTCTTTCTCGCGCCGACCAGATGCTGGTGTATCCACTGTAACAAAAATAGCCTTTAAACCAAGACATTCAGCTTCTTTGAGCAAATGTTCCGTGGCCGACCTGTTGGTGTTGACGTAAAGCTGAAGCCATTGTGTTTGCTCTTTTGAAGGAGCGGCCTCGACAATCTCTCGGAGAGAACAAGAAGCAAATGTGGAAATCATTTGAGCACACTTATACTCACCTTGACCACAGCCCGCGAGCAATATCTTTCTCGCCTTCCTTGGGATTTCCAAGTTTGACTAAAGCTGTAGCACTCGCATAAAATGGAACGGACACCTTAGATCCTAGCATCTCGGTTGTCAGGTCAACTTCCGTGACATCTACTAGAACTCTGGGCTTGAAAAACACTCTGTGATAGATTGCGTGATTCTCCCGATGAGTAAACTCATCATCCGCGGCAGACGAATAGTATGCCCACGCCATATTTGATAGAATTTGTGAAGCAAGGTTCTCGAAGTCGTAGAGGTTCATTAATGAGTCTAAATCTGGGAGTGCGTGGCGTAACTCTTCTTTTCTTTGAATGTCCGCTGGTGACTCGCCTGCAGCAGGTGGTGGACACACATGTTCGCTCGGCATTTGCCCTTCGAGTGGTCCTAACGATCGGAATCTGGAATAAACTTCTCAATCACATCGGGAGCGTGCAAAGCGGAAAACAAAGCAGTTACATCTTTTCCAGCATTGGATTTGATAACAGTGGGGCCTCCAGGGTGCTGGTTGATGAAATTAGTTAAATCGTAGACAAAATCGTCTATCACTACCCAGCAATCGTCTTCTTTGTTATGCAGCACAACCTCGGAAGCACAGACAGAAGAGCATTTCAAATCGCGAACAAGGTCGTTTTTGATATAGCTTTTCTCTCTATTCGAACAGAGGGCATATGTTATGGCCGCGAAGGACGTCAACAGTGCGATATTACCTGACGGCCTTGTCACATGCCGAGCACCAACTTGGTTGGCACTGTTAGAAAACGCCCGCCACCTTCCACGGTCAAAGGCTCTTTTGAAAGCAGGGTGTACTATCGATTGCCTCAACATTGCTGATAAATTCACGAATGAGAAACCCCCATTATATCTCCCAGCGAAGATGGTGGATATAACCAAGCTTCCATGTATACTTTTTCCGACGGGAAGACCAGATCGCTACAAAAGCATTTTTCGGAAATTGCGCGACAATTCAGCTGCCGATAACGATATCTCATAACCAACTTTACAGCCGTCATCAAAGGTGCTTATGATGTGGTACGGCAATGACATGAAAAAATGATTTCTATACTCTGTATCGGCTCAGAACTTACATTAGAGAATGTGTATTCGATGTTAACACAACGGTCCTTACTTAAATGCTTCACGGACTACCTGCTTGTGCGTAGTAAGTCTACCCATCGGTCAAATTTTTCCATGAACTGGAACGGGACGATTGAACACCCATCTGCGAGCGTCATCTCGGCGCCTAGGCTACTGAAGAAGCTAATTCTCTATAGGAAAAGATCTCTTTTAAAGCTAGAGCCTTCAAAGAAAGTATCAGAGCGCAAATGAAATTTGTTGGGAATAATATGAATAAACTGATGGTGATGTGCGTCTAATCGCATAATCAGCGTCAGTAAATATGTGACACAGTGGTACAGAATGATAGTACACAACCGAGGCCATACAAATAGAGCTATAAGCTAAGACACACCGAAGAGAACAACTATTGTCCAATGGGATTGGCCATTGATAAGTTATCGGTAGTGTACGGCATTGAAGCCGTAAATCCTTGGGTAATAGAATGATCTAGAATTGGTGATTAATAAATATGTTGACCAGAGTCACCGAGTGAGAATTGTATAAATACCAGGCTTTTGTTCAGGTAACTGAACCAACTCTAATGCCTAAAATAATCACGGAGAGATAAATAGAATTCCCTAGATCCAAGTTACTCATCTTACAATGACCATGTCCGACTTACAAGACAAATTTAGTAAGCTTTCTACT